ACTATCAAGCGAGTAAAAAGACAACTCAGAATGGGAGAAGATATTTGCAGATTGTTTATCTGATAAGAGATGAATGTAGAGAATACAAAAAGAACTCCTACAACTCAGCAACGAAAAAGCAAGTCAAATCAAAAATGGGAAAAAGACTGGAATAAATATTTCTCCAAAGAAGATACGCACATGTCCAGTAAGCACATGAAGCATGCTTAACATGACTAGGCATTAGGGAAATGTAAATCAAAATCACAACAGAGAGACTTCCCTGGTACTCTAGTGGTTAAGAATCTGGCTGCCAATGCAGGTGACACAGGTTCAATCCCTGGTCCAGAAAGATCCCATGTGCCACGGGACAGCTAAGCCTGTGCCCCACAAATACTGAGCCAGTGCCCTGAGCCTGTGTTTGCAGCCTGGAGCTCATGCTCCACAACAAGAGAAGCCCACATAGCACAGCTAGAGAGGAACCCCCACCTGCTGCAACTAGAGAAAGTCTGAGCACAGGAACAAGACCAGCACAGTCTGCTTCCCCCCACCCAAAGAAAATTCACATGAGATACCCTTTTACACCCATTTTGTTGGCTATTACCCACACACAAAAAGAAAGTAAAGAACAAGTGTTACATTAACAAATTGAAAGATAAAAACCATATGATTATCAATAGATGCAGAGAAAGCCTTTGACAAAATTCAGCATACATTTATGATTAAAAACCCTCCAAAAGCAGGTGTAGAAGGAACATACCTCAACATAATAGAAGCCATATATGATAAACCCAGAGCAAACATTATCCTCAATGGTGTAAAATTGAAAGCATTTCCCCTAAAATCAGGAACAAGAGGTGCCCACTCTCACCACTACTATTCAACATAGTTTTGGAAGTTTTAGCCACAGCAATTAGAGAAGAAAAAGAAATAAAAGGAATCCAGATTGAAAAAGAAGTAAAACTCTCACTGTTTGCAGATGACATGATCCTCTACATAGAAAACCCTAAAGATTCCACCAGAAAATTACTAGAGCTAATCAATGGCTATAGTAAAGTTGCAGAATATAAAATTAACACACAGAAACCCCTTGCATTCCTGTACACTAACAATGAGAGAACAGAAAGAGAAATTAAGGAAACAATACCATTCACCATTGCAGCAAAAAAGAATAAAATACTTAGGAGTATATCTACCTAAAGAAACCAAAGACCTATACATAGAAAACTATAAAACACTGATGAAAGAAATCAAAGAGGACACAAACAGATGGAGACATATACCGTGTTTATGGATTGGAAGGATCAATATTGTCAAAATGGCTATACTACCCAAAGCAATCTGTAGATTCAATGCAATCCCTATCAAGCTACCAACGGTATTTTTCAGAGAACTAGAACAAATAATTTCACAATTTGTATGGAAATACAAAAAGCAATCTTGAGAAAGAAGAATGGAACTGGAGGAATCAACCATCCTGACTGCAGGCTATACTACAAAGCTACAGTCATAAAGACAGTATAGTACTGGCAGAAAGACAGAAATATAGATCAGTGGAACAAAACAGAAAGCCCAGAGATAAATCCACGCACCTATGGACCCCTTATTTTTGACAAAGGAGGCAAGGATATACAATGGAGAAAAGACAATCTCTTTAACAAGTGGTGCTGGGAAAACTGGTCAACCACTTGTAAAAGAATGAAACTAGAACACTTTCTGACACCATACACAAAAATAAACTCAAAATGGATTAAAGATCTAAAGGTAAGACCAGAAACTATAAAACTCCTAGAGGAAAACATAGGCAAAACACTCTCTGATGTAATTAATAGCAGGATCCTCTGTGACCCACCTCCCAGAGTAATGGAAATAAATGCAAAAATAAACAGATGGGACATAATTAAACTTAAAAGCTTTTGCACAATGAAGGAGACTATAAGCAAGGTGAAAAGACAGCCTTCAGAATGGGAGAACATAATAACAAATGAAGCAACTGACAAAGAATTAATCTCAAAATATAGAAGCAACTCCTGCAGCTCAATTCCAGAAAAATCAACAGCCCAATCAAAAACTGGGACAAAGAACTAAACAGACATTTCTCCAAAGAAGACATACAGATGGCTAACAAACACATGAAATGATGCTCAACATCACTCATTATTAGAGAAATGCAAATCAAAACCACAATGAGGTACCATTTCATGCTAGTCAGAATGGCTGCTATCAAAAAGTCTACAAACAATAAATGCTGGAGAGAGTGTGTCGAAAAAGGAACCCTCTTAGACTGTGGGTGGGAATGCAAACTGGTACTGCCACTATGGAGAACAGTGTGGAGATTACTTAAAAAACGAAATAGAACTGCCATATGACCCAGCAATCCCACTGCTGGGCATATACACCAAGGAAACCAGATCTGAAAGAGACACATGTACCCCAGTGTTCATCGAAGCACTGTTTACAATAGCCAGGACATGGAAGCAACCTAGATGTCCATCGGCAGATGAATGGATAAGAAAGTTGTGGTACATACACACAATGGAATATTATTCAGCTATTAAAAAGAATGCATTTGAATCAGTTCTAATGAGGTGGATGAAACTGGTGCCTATTATACAGAGCAAAGAAAGTCAGAAAGAAAAACACCAATGCAGTATATTAATGCATATATATAGATTTTAGAAAGATGGTAACGATTACCCTGTATGTGAGATAGCAAAAGAGACAGATGTAAAGAACAGACTTTTGAACTCTGTGGGAGAAGGCGAGGGTGGGAGGATTTGAGAGAATAGCATTGAAACATGTATATTATCATATGTGGAACAGATCGCCGGTCCCGGTTCGATGCATGAGACAGGGTGTTCAGGGCTGGTGCACTGGGATGATCCTGAGGGATGGGATGGGGAGGGAAGTGGGAGGGGGTTCAGCATGCGGAACACATGTACAGCCATGGCTGATTCATGTGAATGTATGGCAAAACCACCACAATATTGTAAAGTAATTGGCCTCCAATTAAAATAAATAAATTTAAAAAATAATAATAATAGAAAGAAAAGAACAAGTATTGGTGAGGATGTAGAGAAATTAGAATGCTGTGCATTGTTGGTGGAAATGTAAAATGGTACAGATACTATAGAAAACTGTTTGGCAGTTCCTCAAAAACTTTTAACTGGGGATCCTCATGTCCAGTGGTTCAAACTCCCATTTCTGCAGCAGAGGGCACAGGCTTGATCCCTGGTAGGGGAAGATCCTGCACATGCTGGCTGGTGAGGAAAAAAAGTAACAGAGGCAAGGTTGAATTGACATCACACTTTTCAACAGCAGCATAGACAGTGGGAAGACAATAGAGTTATATATTTTGACTAATAGAATATTGACAGAAAATAGCTTTGAACCTAGAATTTTATATCCAGCCAACTGTCATTCAAGTATAAAACTTGATTAAAATATTCTCAAACATAGTAAGTTACATATTAACATAAAGTACCACATGGGAAACATTTCTTGAGGAAAAACTCAAATGAGTAGAGAAATCTAGCATATGCTGCTAGGTGTGTGTAATGTCCCTGTGTAAGACATGTAAAGAGTGACTGAATACCAAAGTAAAGATTGTTAAAAAAAAAAAAAAAATTAGCCACAACCAAAGAAAAGAAATAGAGGAGTTGTATCCATGAAATCAGATGAGGGTTGGGTGGAGTCAAGATCAGAGCATGGTGTTCTGTCTTGATGAAGGGATGGCAGTTTATCAAATAGAAAGATGTCACAATAGAAAGTGCAAGAAAAGCAGTGGACAAATTGTAAGTCATCAAGTCATCAATTAAAAAGCAGAAACTGATGATTCAATAAGAAAGCTAACTACATTTTTTTTTAATAGGAAACAGTCTTAAATAATTTAAAGCTATATAAGAGAGGGACATGGATAGGACATATATAAAAATTGAGGATATGTGGATTATATTTGTGGGTAGTTACCATATTAGAGATTACAGCTGAAAAATTGTGGACTGATCTGGTCCACAGTGGACCAGTGGTTAAGACTTGACCAGTGGTTAAGACTCCATGCTTCCAGTGTAGGGGGCACAGGTTCCATCCCTGGTTGGGGAACTATGATCCCACATGCCACATGGTACAGCCAAAAAAAAAAAACTTTACTGATTAATTTAAAAATAGCAATATATACCTTTTGAAGGTTAACAGAAGTAACATTTTATGAAGAGTCTTACTGAACAACATAGGAATTTAGTGAGAAGAGTTTTTGCAGATTTCTTTAATGCCTGATGTATATAGACTGTACTGAGAGTCTCTTATCTGCTATTATAACACACTCTGTTGCAATATGCTCTGATTGAGGGTACCTGAGGAGAATCCTGGGACCGTGTGGATCTTCTGTGTGGGGCCCCTCGGAGGTCCTGAGATCATACTTGAGAACCTGCCTTTTCCAGGCAAGTTTCTTCATCACCATGACTGCCTCCAGTTTGGTGTCATCTTGTTGATCTCAGAGGTTTACTGCTGTCTGTATTCCCTCCCCCTTTCCATTTCTGCTTTTGTTATTTCCCACCCTGTATTCAAGTCCAGTTTAAGGCTGATCTTCGTGTCTTCACTGACAGTTTCTCAGTGACTCTTCTTTTTGGCAAAACAGTTTCACATAGTTGGTGCTCAAGTGTTCTAAGTTTTCTTGTTTACTCTTTCCAGCTATATTATAAAGCTCCTTTAAAATAGGGACCCTAAAAATTGAAAAGATAAAACGAGTTGCTCCTTACATGAAGTGCTAGGTAGAAAGTAATAATTGTTGGTTGATAGGTAGTAGCACTGCCCAGGAAAGCAAATAATAGATCACAACTCTTTTTTGGTCTTAAACGGCTTATTGGAAAACCATAGTGTCTTCCCCATTACCTGCTACATGGTTATGCTTTTGGTGTTGCAATTAATATTTCTTTAAGAGCTCTTGTGTGATTAAAACTATCCTCAGTTCAGGCTTGTTGATCTTATAAGCCACTCACTGATTTATTTTCTTGCCATTTCAGAAAAAAGCCAAAGGACAAGAGCTATTTGATCAGATTATGTACCACTTGGACCTTATTGAAAGCGACTATTTTGGACTGAGATTTATGGATTCAGCACAGGTAGCGGTGAGTATCTGGTTTTTGGAGGCTCTAAAATGGGTACAGAAATGGAAAATGTCAGATGGTGTTCTCAGTGCTAGAAGGTTATATATACTTAAATGTCTTCTTTTTTCCTGTAATTTTCTTGGAATAACCTGAAGTGCTTATTTTTTTTAAAAAAAGTTCTAGCCCTAAGCTGTGTTCCCAGAGCATGATCTCTGCAGATGAGGCTTGGAGATCTCAACCACTGGATTGGTCTTGAGCAGAGTAGAGTGACTGCTGTGGGAGGGGAGGGTGCTGGAATGGGAGTTTTTTGGGCTCTTGGGTGAATGATAGAAGTTCCTAGTGTGCAATTAGGGTGAATATTGGACTAAAATATTTCTAATATCCTTTCCAGCTCTGTGATTCTCTGTCTGTAAATAGATGCTCTTTGATGTGCATTTCAGGTGAGAGAACAGTATATATAATAGGATAGGAAGTTGGGGGCTTTTCAAAGAATTTGCCCAGTATTTGAAAAAGAGTAGTGATTAGAAGATGGATCAGTGGCCACATCATTCACACTGAGCTGCAGAAGTATTAATAATAAGTTGGCAGTATTCTCTAATAATTGGGATTAGGGATTTTTCATTCAGGGAGGTTATGTTTTGCTTTAGGAAGTTGTACATAGGAATATTGTGTAGGATTGTTTGGAGTGGACAGAGATGGAAGTCAGAGTCAGTGCAAACATTTTGGGGATAAAAGTGATAATAGGGTCTAGAGTAGGGCATTCACAGGGGTGTGGGGGCAGAAGAGGGTTAGGATATCAGGACGTTGAGTCTTGTTTTCTGGACGTCCGTGATGGTGTTTTTGTGTTTAGTGACACAGTAACTGCAGTATTTAGAACCACAGGAACAATATATATTCTGTAAGAATCTCAAAGTCCTTTCCGGAGAAGGAAATGGCAGCCCACTCCAGTACTCTTGTCTGGAAAATCCCACGGATGGAGGAGCCTGGTGGGCTGCCGTCTACGGGGTCGCAGAGTCGGATACGACTGAAGCATCTTAGCAGCAGCAGCAGCGAATTCCTTTTGAGTGGGTTTGTGTGTGTGTGTATGTGTGTGAGGGGGTGATATGGTGTGATGGATAAATTAACTGGGATACCTCTGTGAGATACTTTACAAAACCCACATTTCTTGGAGATGAACTCCAAGACTGATTTTATAGAACATCTTCAGTAAATGTACAGCTGTTAATAATGTCAGCCTCACTTGTTTTCTCTGATTTCCCTGTACCTCAATTTAAAAAAAGCATGAGCATTTATTTGCAGGGAATTGTTAGGTAAATTTTGATACATCTTTACAATGGAATATCTGCAGCTCATTAAAAATGGTGATTTTTAAGTACTAATTGACATGAATGATATAAACATTAAAAGGATTTATAAAATAACTTACAATAAAGCCCACTAGGCTCCTCTCTCCATAGAATTCTCAAGGTAAGAATACTGGAGTGGGTAGCCATTCCCTTCTCCAGGGGATCTTCCCAACCTGGGTTTCCTGCATTGCAGGCGGACTCTACCGCTTGAGCCACCAGGAAGCATATAAAATAACTGAAGTTTTCTATTTTTAAGAAATTCTGGGTTTATGTTCACACATAAACATGAAAAAATTTGAAAAGCTATTTTCTCTAGTTTGAGTTCTGATCTTTGGATGGATGTTGTATAAGAGGCATTTCTCTTATTTCTTCTTGTTAATCTTATTTCTTTTCTATTAGACGAAATCCACTAAGGGTAGGAAATAAATCTTAGTTACCTCTGTTATTCAGTATGTATTAAGTAATAAACTAGACTGTTTATTGAATTTAATTCTGGTCTGCTACTTAGTTTGATATAGGCTTGTTTGACTGTTGAGTTTAATATCATTAAACTCTCATCTCTAGAGAGTTTAAGTCTTACATTCAGATGAAACAGCAAATGATTTTTGGGGTAGATAGTTTGTACAGCTTCCTGTTTTTTTGAGGAGTCAATATTAGGTTTTAGGTACTTTCTTTTCATTTCTTAACATATTTAAGTAATTATGGGAAGAAACAGACATGCAACTGTTCCTGAATTGCATTATTTGTTCTTTGCTAATATCAGCACTTACTGAGTTACTAGATCCTGTATTTTTTCCTCTCATTTGATTCACATGGTTATAACAAGTGTCTGGTAAAGCCGGCATTAGGATTTGTAATCCCTACTCTTTTTAGTTTTAGTTTATGCCTCCCAATGCACAGAAATCTAGGCATTAAGATTAAATTTATTTTATTTTTATTTTTTTAAGATTAAATAGGCAAAAAAAAAAAAAAAAGATTAAATAGGCGTACATTTTCCAGTCTCTCCTCTGGCCGTCACTCAAATACTTTTTGAATTAAACTGTAAGAACAATAATTGGGAAATTAAAGTTATTAAAAATCAGCTCTCGGTAACACTTTAAATATTCTTAAAGTGTTGACTCACTTGATTCCATGACGGTCTTAGGACATAAGTAACCATAGAGATAGATGAGTGTCAGTTGTTTATAGTGTGGCCAGATTTAACCCCAAAAGTAAACAAAATTGATACTTGACAAACAATTCAGTCTGTCAGTGAAGATAACGAACTTGGTAGATCATGTGGCTTTTTTGGTGAGGATCATCTGTTTAAACTAAGTTAACCCGTGGTTTCCATAACTATTTATCATACTTACTTTGTTGACATAACTATGAAACCTAAAGGGAGTGAGACGGTGAAAAAGAGCCAAGGAATTACATGTTACAGTTTAACCTTGGATATGTGGCATGTCCATATTTGTTAAATTAGTGTATTAAAATTTAGTTTATTGATCATTTTAAATCAGTTCAATATATGTATGATTAGAATTATGCATTCATCAAGGAGATAGTCAAAGTAAATTGATGAGGTCATAATTCACTTTTCTTCTTACGTAGTCAGATAATCTGAGTTTGCTGTTTTTTAAGTTACTTTTGATTGCACTAACTCATTTTAGTTGAAACTATAGTGCATTTTTAGAAAAGTTGCAAGAACAATATAAGTAATTATTTTTCTGGAATCATTTGAGAGTTGCAAGTATGATGTCCCATTTCCCTTGAATTTCCTACAGACAAGCATGTTCTCCTGCACAACTCAATATAGTCATCAAAGCCAGAAAGTTATTGTGACATTACCACTATCTAATCTTCAGACCCCATTCAAATTATGCCTTAAGAGTGTCATTTATAGCCGGAGGTTCACTGTTTACCAGTTGCTCCCCATTCCTCCTCCCCATAGCTCCTGGCAAATGCTAATCTTTCTGTTTGTGTGGATTTGCCCATTTTGAGACTTTCATAGAAGTGGAATCCGGTAATTTGTGGCCTTTGAGTCTGAAAATGCACTTGGCATAATGTTTTCAAGGTTCATCCATATTGTAGCATATATCAGTACTTGATTCTTAACAGCTGAATAGTATTCCACTGTATGGATATACCACATTTTTATTCACTCACTGATACACCTTTAGGTTTATCCGTTTTTGGCTGTTATAAACAACACTGCTGTGAACATTTGCACACGAGTTTTTGCACTCAGCATAACTCTTCAGTTCTTTTGGGCGTGCATCTAGGAGTGGAACTGCTGGATTATAAGGCAACTTTACATACAAGTCTTTGAGGGACCGCTAAGCTGTTTTCCTCAGTGACTGCACCGTTCTACATTCCATCAGCGGTGTATAAGGCTTGCGATTTCTACATGTCCTCACCAATATGACATTCTCCCTTCTTTTTTTTTAAAGTTCCTTTTTTTTCTTTTTTCAAAAAAATGTATTTATTTGGCGGTGTTGGGTCTTAGTTACGTCATGTGCTGCAGGGACTCTCTACTTGGGGCATGTGGGCTCCAGAGCTGCTGCATAACTTGTGAGATCCTAGTTCCTTGACCAGAGACTGAACCTGCATCCCCTGCATTGCAAGGCAGACTCCTAATCAGTGAACCACCAGTCAGGTCCCTCCCCTTCTTTTTGATTCTGATCATACCATTTGATATGAAGTGGTCTTACTGTAGTACTGATTTGCACTTCTCTGATAGAAAAGATATGTGAGCATCTGTTCATGTACTTATTGATCATTTGTATATCTTTTTTGGTAAATGTCTGTTCAGATTTTTTATCCACTTGAAATTCGGTTATTTCCTTCTTACTGAGTTGTAAGGGTTAACTATTACCTAGTCTGCAGTCACAAACATTTATATATTTTCTTCTGTATCCATTTGGAGTTAATTTTGGTATAAGCTCTAAAGTAGGGGGTCAGACTTCATTCTTTTGCATGTGAATGCATGTGTATATCCAGTGATCCTAGAACCACTTGTTGAAAGGGTGGTTCTTTCCCCATTGAATGGTCTTGGCACACTTACTGAAAGTCAGTTGAGCATAGATATTTGGGTTTTTCCTGGGTTCTGAGTTCTGTTACTTTCATCTATATATTGATTCTTAGGCCAGCACCACATTGTCGTCACGTGGTGAAGTAAGTTTCAAACTTACTTAATTTGTAGTAAGTTTGAAAACTGGGAAATGTGAGTCCTTCAATTTCATTCTTCTCTTTTAAGATTGTTTTGGCTGTTCTGGGTCACTCATACTTGCATATACATTTTGGATCAACTTGTCTATTTCTGCAAAGAGGGCAGTTGGGAGTTTTGATGAGAATTGCACTGAATCTGTATATCTGTTTGGGAAGTATTGTCATCTTAACAACGTTAAGTCTTACGGTGAATTATGTTTTTATATTTCTTAAAGCAATGTTTTATAGTTTGTTTACACGTCTTTCATCTCCTTGGTTAAACTTACTCATAAACATTTTATTCCTTTGATATTATTGTAATATGTAATTTTCTTAATATCATTTTTAAATTTAGTTTGGATTCTAGTATATAGAATTCATTTTTGTGTACGTTTCTTACTGAAACGTACTTACTGAACTTGTTTATTAGTTTTTTTGTGTTTTATGTATAAGATTGTGTCATTACAAAAAAAGGATAGTTTTAAT